TCAGCGTTGATTTAGGTGTCGCTCGCTTCATCCTCCCCCATGTCGACGCTCGGTCCTGTGGAGGGCGGAGAAGGGGCTTTTCTTTTGCAGTCTGCTCCCTGCTAGCGCCCTCCGCAATGTGTCAACCAGCCGTGGAGGGCAGAGGAGGTATGGGGGGGATCGCTTTCGTCTCGCCTCAGCATTCGCTCATCGCTTCACTGCAGACGGCGAGAAGCCAACGGACTGATGGCGCTTCCAGGGGGCGCGGTAACGTCGGATCGGGGAAGCACTCCATAAGGTTAGCGCTTCTCTCCTTGCGGCATAGAAAGGCCCGTGTGGATTTCGGCTCCTGCTACCAAGCTGCTGTCAGCGGGCGTAGAATTTTATAATTGCGTCAACTATAACGTTCGCGCAGCTGCGATAAAATTAAGTGACTCATATGATCCTCATCAGCACCCAGTCGCACAAACAGTTTTATCTTTCCGCGTACCTCACTGTACCTTTAGCCAATGACTCATCACTCTGGAAGTGCAACAAAGGTTGTGTCATAATCAATCGAAACTTCGAGTGAGATTTTTCAAATTGTGCGATATCATGTGCGATATCATGCTTTTAAGTGTCGGTTGCGGCAAGATGGCTTGCCACACTAAAGTGGCGCACCCTACGTGATCGAGAGTGCGACAAGAGCCATGCGGGGACGACCCCAAACCCCCAAACCATTCCAAACCAAACCAAACCAAGCCTAGCCAAACCAATCCAAACGAGACCAAACCAAGGACGGCTGAATGTATCAAGGTAATAAACGCCGACGGCATTTCGTAAAGGCCGAGATGACTGAAAAACAACGCCGACCGATGTTTCTTTATATCGTCGCCTACTCCGGCAAGCATGGTTGATCAACAAAACGAGAAGCAACTCGAGTGAGAAGGAAAACTCGGCCTCCGCGGCCTTTGCGCATAGAAAAGCATACGACTGACGGACGCAATTGCCAACAGGGGTTATGGTGAGATCTCAAACCGGAGGTACGTCTCTTGAAACCACCCTATCCACTATTACCACCCTCCCCTTTCCCCTCCCCCCCTCCCCCAAAGAAAAACATTTGGTCGATGCACATGTTTACTAATCTGTATAGACTTCCATAAAAGTACGTGTGGCTGGGGATATATGTAGTAATTGTTTATTGGTGTACAAATGTGCGAGGTATGCACAGCGAGGCCATGCTCTAATCACTGCGACGCTGTGTGTGTAACCGGTTGGAAGGCGCGTTTGTGTTTTACCGTCACCCTTGTCAGCAGGCGAAAGTTCTGCACAGCCACTTTCGTCAGCTCGCACTTTACACTTTCTTTCGTAATTTTTCCAGGTTAATGAAATTTGGTAGAAATGTGCGGAGCATTAACATAAACATATTTCTTTCGAATTGGATAAGCAGTTGAGTTGTTTAATGTTTCGGGGTAGCTTCCCCGAAGCACGACTCACGAGAAGACAAACCAATGGCTTGCGAGAAACAAAAGAAAAAGTGAAAGGCGTTTACAAATCTCTGTAATGCGAAATTCGAGTGCAGGTCCAGAGGAGGACGGGAGGGGTTGCTTTTTTTCTCTGTCTCCCCTCTCCAAACGGAGAGAAATAAAGAGTTTGAGAGTTTGAGGTATGCCTTTCCTTCTCCTCCTCCCCTCCTCTTCCTCTACCCTCCTTCTCGCTTCCTCCTCTTGCGTGCCCTCCCATCCTCCTCCCCCGTACCCTCGCCTCCCCCTCCTCCATACCCACCCCTCATCCCATGGTTTCCCCGCTAAATTAAGCTGGAAAATTGACGCCAAGTGACCTCAAGACCAACTCAATTTCTCCGATAAATTTAGCGAGGAAAATGACGTCACATTGCTTCGTGTCACGTCACCCATAAAAATTCAGTTTCTCCGCGAGTTTTTGCGGGAAAATGATGTCACGTGACCCCAACAACACTTCAATTACCCGCTAAATTTAGCGGGGGGACTGAACGGTGTGTAGTTCTGTGGCGTCCCATAATACAAGACTGGGCATTCAGTTTCCCCGCTAAATTTGGCCATAAAACTGTCGTCACATGACCTCAACAACAATTTAGTTTCCCCCTAAATTTAGCGTGGAAACTGGGACGTCCTATAATCCATCGCGCGCGATTACGCCGACGCCGCTCAACGCGGAAACGGGCACATAAGAGCTGCGCTCTAAAACAGAAAGAAAACCTGTAAGCCTGATGACCTGTGAGTGTGAGGACCGGTGAGTGTGATGAGCGTGATGACCTGTGTGAGTGCGAGGACCGTGAGGACCTGTGAGCGTGATGAGCATGATGACCTGTGAGTTTGAGGACCGTTAGGACCTGTGAGTGTAAGGACCGGTTTGTGAGCATGAGGACCGTGACGATATGCCAGTGTGATGTCCTGTGAGTCTGATGATGCGTGATGTTGTGTGAGTGTGGGGAGCGTGACGACCTGTGAGATGATGACCTGTCAGTCTGATGAATCGTGATGACCTGTAAGCATGATGGCCATGATGATCTGTGAGCGTGACGACCGTGATGATGACGGCGATTGAGTTTTCGTTTTGTGTTGAGCCATCAGGGAGAGTCCGGGTGATGACCCTCTTTTTATTAGACCATGATCGTGAGTGGGCGTGAGTTTTGATTTAGGAAAAAGTGGAGATCTTGAATTTGAGCAAGGACAGCTAAAATGCCGACCTATGGCTGTGAGTGGGTGAGTGGCGTGAGGGCGGTGAGTGTGTGAGTGGCGTGAGGGAGGTGAGTGCGTGAGGGGCGTGAGGGCCGTGAGGGCTGTGAGGGGCGTGGGGTCTGGGGGCCATGAGTGTGTGAGGGGCGTGAGGGCGGTGAGTGTGTGAGCGGCACGAGGGTCATGAGTGCGTGAGGGGCGTGAAGGGTATGAGTGCGTTAGGGCCGTGAGGGCGGTGAGTGCGTGAGGCCCCCTTCAGACGGAGCAACTTTCTCATCAATTTCAGTATTGCTGGCGGCTTGTTTTCTAGCTTTCCCTAGATCGACATGAATTGCTGAGATCGGGTCCGGCTCGAAATAAGCGAGCCACTCGGAGCAATTCGAAGACGTTTGAAGCCAACCATTTCGTCGTTTACCCTGAGACTGGGTTTTCTTAGAAGAGCAGAAGTAACAGAAAAAACAGACAGGTCTCAAAGTCAAAGTACAGGCTAGCTGGTGGAAGTCAACCATTTCGTCGTTTACCCTGAGACTGTTTTTTTTTTAGAAGAGCAGAAGTAACAGAAAAAACAGACAGGTCTCAATAGTACAGGCTAGCTGCTGGAAGTCAACCATTTCGTTGTTTACCCTGAGACTGGTTTTTTTTAGAAGAGCAGAAGTAACAAAAAAAACAGACAGGTCTGTTTTTTCTGTTCTGTTACTTCTGCTCTTCTAAAAATCCCCCAGTCTCAGGGTAAACGACGAAATGGTTGACTTCCACCAGCTAGCCTGTACTTTGACTCTTTTCACGTTTGAAGCGGCTGCAGGGCAATCATGGACGCCATATTTTCACGTGATACCTCGTGCCGGTGATGATGACAACTTGGTTCTGGTTTGAAATTAATCGTTTTGGGAAATAAACTGTTTCAGAAAGATGCATTAGTATTCTCAACAAGATTTAAATGCAAAAAAAAAAAAAAAACACGTTTATAGTGCGCAATCGTATGTCTAAATAGTGCAAGAAAAATAAAATTTTATGATGATGATGGCAAATCGCAGCAATTGGTTGCTGCGTGTGAACGCGGGTGGCCCGAGTTGCTGGAGTTGCGACGTCAAATTTCTGGGCGAAATTGCCCCGTCTGAAGTGGGCCTCAGTGGCGTGAGGGCCATGAGTGCGTGAGGGCCGTGAGGGCGGTGAGTGCGTGAGGGGCGTGAGGGCCATCAGTGCGTGAGGGGTATGAGTGGGTGAGGGCGGTAGTGCGTGTGGGGCTTGAGGGCCTTGAGTGCGTGAGGGCCGTAAGGGCGGTGAGTGCGTGAGGGGCGTGAGGGCCATCAGTGCGTGAGGGGTATGAGTGGGTGAGGGCGGTAGTGCGTGTGGGGCGTGAGGGTCATGAGTGCGTGAGGGGTATGAGTGCGTGAGAGCCGTGAAAATGGTGAGTGCGTGACGGCCGTGAGGTTCAGTGAGGGTGGCTGAAGGGCTGAAGAAAAGTGTGGCTGTGAGGATGAAGTTGAGTGAGGAGCGGAGGGTGAGTGTCGCTGTAAGGGTGAGTGAGGGACTTAGGTCAGTGTGGCTGTGAGGGTGAGGGTGAGTGAGGGCGTCCTAAAATGCCGACCTCTGTCCTGACGACGTCAGCCTCGCCGCAGCTTTGCTCATCCCGAGACAAACTACGTCACCATTGCGCCAGATGGGACGTAATCTCCGCTGGCTGCTCTCCGAGCGCTTGCCAGGGCGGGCCGCTTATACCGAAAAATAAAGCCATCAGGATGAAAATAATCCATGGGGAAGGGGAACAGAGGGACAAAGGACAAACACATATCCCCAAACACAGCAGGTAACTGGTGCACGACCGAAAAAATCCGCCTGGTCCGGGTATCGAACCCGGGACCCCTCCATTACAGATGGAGCGCTCTACCAACTGAGCTAACCAGGGGTTAGACGTCAGTAGTGCAAACGGGTTTTATCAACTGCCACCAGTCTAACAACAACAAGGGTGAAGCTAGCGATTTAAAGTTATAATTATAATGGAATTAAATAAAACGTGCGATTATCATTTACGTATATTGTGTATTATATTCAGCCTATTTCTCAACACGACGGGTATCTTTCAGATTGCGTTGAAGTACCCCTTAAAGGGATCCTTCAAAGAAACATTTGTCTCCACCGGACTCCCTAGCCACGGACATTCGCTTCTTGCTCACCCGAAATCGTCATGCGGCAGGAGTCCGGGGACGTTTCTTCAGCTCCAGCCGTAGTTCTACGGATGTTTATGTGGCATAGAAAACCTATGCACCGACCACTTTTGTTTTCTTGTTTTTTTTAGGGTAATCTAATAGAACACGTGTAGAAAAAATGACACTCAAGGCCCGGATCGAAAATGGCATTGTCTATTCCCCATACCCATCGGAACCTGTGCCCGAAATGACGTTTTACCAGGTGGTGAAACAGTGCCTCGAGCAATATGGCTGCCGAACTGCTCTGGTAAGCTTGACAACGGATGTTTAATTTAACGGTGCTTTTGTATACATAGGGTGTCAGAAATACCCAGCCTCGATCTAAAATGAAGCGCAAAAATCAGCGCCAGCACCCAGACTTGGGAAGTGATCCGTTTCAAGTAACTGATTGTTTATAATCCGTTACTTTTTAAAGTAATTTTGTAATTGCTACGTCAATTTTTTTGTGGCCGTAATTTGTAATCTATTTTCGTTACAAATATCAGCAACGGAATACTTTAATTACTCGTTACTTTTTTAAATATATGAGCATATTTCCAGAAACTGGAGCAATATGACCAGGCAATCCAGCAGCATACAGATAGCAAGTTCAACGAAAGAACAACGGAAAAGAAAACACAATGCTTTTATATGTCCGGTCTCTAGAACGGCTGGAATAACGTGTAAGGCATATACAAGTATGCGAAAAACAAAGATGAAGAAGACAAGGCCGAGTAGGCGTTGTCTTTATGATATTTTAGCGGAGGTAGACGCTGCTCCTCAGCATGATCACCGTGAGCTTTCTTGGCAGAATTCCAGGAATTAATTTCGGTCGTCGTAAGCTAGCAGGATGGCGGACGTGGTTGCAGCTTTTGCTGCCCTGTCAGCTTACACGTTAATGGAGTGGACGTACATTATTTCTCTTTAGTACCATATTTTATTCTTACAATTAATACTGCGATACGGGCGCACAAAAAAATGGGAAGTAATGCTGCAGAACATTTTTGCAAACATCAAAATTGTTTCTATAGTTTTCTTGATAATTACAGAAAAGTAACGTGAAAGTAATGTCTAGCGTAACGAGTGAAGTAATCCGTTAATTATCAGCGAAAGTAATTTGTAACGGTAATTCATTACATTTGAGGCTCTAATTTGCAAATGTAATCAGGGTGTTGAACCGAAACCCCACCTTTATTTTTAGCCGAACATAAACGAAACCTAACCGAAATCTTCGCCGCCATCTTGGTATTAAAACGGGACCTGAACCGGAAAAAAACAAAAAAAACAACAACAACATAACGCTAACTGGTTCAAAGTAATTGTTTTTGCTTTTTGTTAGTATCACAAAACAAAAATATGGGAATAAAAAATTCCCAGCTTTATATCTATGTATTGATCAAATCGTCATAAACAGAATTGTTATGTAAAATAAATTGTTTGTTCGTGACTCACTGCGTCAAGTGAGTCAAGCGGAGAGGTGTCCCAGCAGCGGTGGTGGGCGTGGCAGACGCTTGTACTGCTGGAGGTCTCTGTCCAGTGTGACACTCCACGTACCATTCGGCAGCTAGAATTTGGGTCACTGTGATGACAGCGAAACTCGCGATCGCTCGTACTTTTCGCACGCATTTCTAAGAGCAACCGCCAGGATCGCTTCATCCGACAGCGTGACAGTCCGGCTCCTGTGACGTCACTTGTTGCCACTTCAGGACCACTTTTGTTGCATAGGCAGAATAGGGCGCTAAACGGACCAGTCGGACACACCCTCCAGGCACCATGAAAGAGTGGAAGCTGGGACAGTTCGGTCAGTTGGCCCGCCGCCACAAACAAACTGCTCATGTTCGTACGTGTCCCGTGTTCATGAGGTGAGACACACGCATACAAAAAAAAAAAAAAAAATAAACATGTTGCATAAAAAAAGAAGTGACTGGTGTCCCGGGCACTCCGATGTCGCGCTCCCCGAAGCTTTACTTATCCTTTCCAGTGGCGCATCCAGTTTTTGTTACCATTAAACAAACATGTAATGACAGCCCGTCGTTTAGTTTTTTTTTTTTTTTTCACTGATCTCTATTATAGGGGGCTGGATGGCACTTAGCTGCTCTCCGAGTCTGGCGCAGGTGAAGCCACCGGAAGTTCGATGCTTGTCCCGGAAGTTGGGCGTGCGCTGGGCTTCCTAGTGCATTCAGTCGATATTTAGGACCATGCTTTTTTGTGTCTTTGATTGGGTTTTAATACTCCCGTTCTGAATTAAATCCCGAGAATGAGGCGTTTGAACTTGGGACATATTCACAGCTTGATCAACTAGAATCTCAAAATGTTTACATTGAATGGCTTCCCATGATACTTCTCGGGTCCGCATGCTCTCTTACTGCGCAACAAGCGGGCTCTCTTGAGGCAACAAGCGAAAATGCAGCGCCCTCGAAGCTTTCTGAACCAGCATTCGAAAGGGTTACAAAGCCTGCCAAGCGCTCACTTCCGGGACAAGCCGCTCACTTCCGGTGGCTTCATACCTGTTTGCCCAATGTAGGGTGCCTGCATGTCTGTCTGTCTCAGGGTGAAGACATCCATTGTTGCCCTGAATGTGCCAGCGCGTGACGCTCTCACGCTCCCGGTGCGTGACTAGGGCGGTAAAATGGCGTCTATGCATTAGCCAAAGCTAAGCACTCGAGCTGAGTGACACCGGATTGCACGCACTTCAAAATGCATAAACAAACGATTGGGCGGAAAAATGGCTGAGATGTCACCACTCAAGCAAAAGCGTGCGTGTGTATGAAGGCACTCTAGCCCAATGTAAAGCCCCTTGATGTGTTTACGTGTCTTGCAAGTAGCGTCAAATGCGCGAGCGCACGAGGCCCATGTCTCGAGCGGCCCCTGGAAGCAAATGGCGGTGCAGCACTGAAATGAGCGGCCTTTGGAAGCGAATGGCGGCGGAGCACGCGCTCGCGGCACGTCTCTCGCGCGTTTTCACAACAATGGTTGGCGGTACTTGTAAAAACGGCCTTTATCAAGGGGCTTTAGCCCAATGCGCCATCCAGCCCCCTCTAGTGGAGATCAGTGGTTTTTTTATATACTTAATTGCATGCTGGCCTCCGCTCCTTTCGAGTGTATAGTCTTAGCAACAAAACAAGCAGAAAGAATAGCTTTTCACTTTGTTGGCATAGTAAGCTGGCAGTGTGCGCCGACGGGAATTCTCGCTATCCGAAGACGTGAAATGCAGTTATTGGTTGTATTACTACAGAGCTTTCTCCACGCCACTGGCGTTCATTTGGGCACCATTGCGCCACTGTCGCCACAGGCGCGAATGTTAAAATTGACGCCACTCCTTTACCCGCAAAAACGGGGATGGCAACATTCTTCTGGCATAGACTGTCTTCTACTCGTTCTTTTTTGCGGAGACGCAGCGACGAAGAAAAGTTCCGCGCTGGGGAGCACAATAGCCAACTCTCTGTAATCTCACCGATGCTCTCCAAGGGTTCGATGCTCGCATAATCGTAACACCCCCGAGCACCTCTTGCGTAAAACTGGAAGAAGTTATTTTCGAGCTTTTCTGAACGAAACCCCCTATCCCAGGAATTCTTCCGTCCGTAAGTGCATTAACGCACTAGATTTAGCTTAGAAATTGACGTCACGCGACGTCACAGTATCACGTGACATCACGTCGAGTGACGTCAACTTCTTATCTAAATGTAGCGGCGAAATGTGCCGGACGTGAACTGATATCAGGTTGCGCGACGTCATATCACGTGACACCAAGTTTCCGACCAAATCTGTCCGTAAAATCAAGTTCACAGTGTCACGCCATACTATGGCTTCATAGGACGTCACGTGACGCAGCATATTCGCCCCAAGGAGCCTAGCTTTAACGATGACGTCCTGCGCATGTCTTGTCTTCTAGACGGTATTGCCATACAAGGGTGTCGCGGATGAAGTCTGAACTGTAAACATATTGCAGGTCTGGAACGACGAAGAGGTCACTTTTGCAGAGCTCCTCAAGATGTGTCACCGATATGCCGCTGGGTTCCAGAGACACGGCGTTAGGAAAGGCGACAAGGTCCTGGTACATGTGGAATATTCCTTGGAAAACATGATTGCCATGTACAGCGTCGGTTTTGCCGGGGGAGTTTCTGTGGCATCCCAACTGATCTTGTCAGACGGTGAGGATAAAATATGGTTGTGACTTCAGCGAAAGAATATTTCGTAGAAAGGTAAACTTCACTGCTTTGACTGTCGGCTGAACAATCTGCCAATTAAAAGACGAACGCGAGATTGTGACAGAGACACTGTCAAGGTGACGTTCCTGTCTTGGGGATTGTGCCCCGTATTCGTCGATCACTGCGTCGAGAGTTTTTATTGTCTCACATCTTTCCGTGCGCGCCAAATAGTGTTTAAGGGTTTCGATCTTTCAACGTTTGCCCATACATGAAGGCAACCTTTACTGCGCAAAAACGCAATATCTAAAAAAAAGAAGCCCACAACGAAAGATGGGACAAGGAAAGGCACGTCCACTTCCGTGCTGTCTTCTTCTCTCCTGACCAAATGGGTGTGCGTTCTTTCTTGGTGCCCTTACCGGCAGGGTACTTCCCAACTCGTTTAGTATTCTCAACTACTCTCTGATTTTTTTTTTTTTTTACTTTTCTCACAGCATCAGCTGTTTCTCCCACTCCTAAGGTAATGTTCTCGCGAGTAGAGGCAGCTTCTTGGAGAGCCTCGTGCACCGGGGCTACCAAGAGCCACTGTATATATGGCAACGCAGCTACGCCAACGCAGCTACGCTGCCATATACAGTGGCTCTAGGGCTAACTGGTTGCCGGTCAGCAATGGCCTAGGTGAGGCTGACCCAACGGCCACTGTCAAACTACTTGTTCTGACTGAATTAAGACACAACTGGGAAAGACCACGATTACCATATTAACCCAAGAGCTGTATTTAGGGAGATTTTCGCCTGTGGTCGGAGCCAAGGCCGTCGCCAACGCCGACTACTCCTCCCGCGGATACAGCGTAAACTAAATGTGCAACACAGCGTCGACCAATCAGCAGATTGTGACGTCATAATGTTGGAAACTACATTTGAAGCGTGAAATAGAAGCGTTCAGTCTCGGCGTCTCGGTGACAGTTTGCTCTTGGCCGGCTTGTTAGAACAGCGTCTCAGCTGAGACTTGCTGAAAGAAAACAGAAAAGAGGAAGACGACGACGTTGAGAGGATGCCACACCGGGCGTCGGAGATGCCTCAATCTAAGCCCTGGGTTTCAGTACCTTGAAGGCGGCAGCCTAAACCAGTGCCATGGTTGACACCCCAAAAGTGTCACCGAAACCCAAAAGCAAAACAGCTACATTTATGAATTCTCATACTGTGCTGGGCATCAACATCATAATAAAAATCTTTCTTTGTACTTAAAACATTTCTGATACATCCATGAGGTGAAGCTGATCTCCCTAATGACTGCAGTATCTCTGGGTATTACCGCTACTGAAATCCTACAATAAGTGGCTTACCAAGTGGGAGTGCAGCCCTTTTTATTTGAAACGTTGTTCCGTAGTACAGGATTGATACGAGCGACTTGTACTATCGGGGAAAGATGAAAGGCGAACAGAGGAGCGCGTGGCTCGCGGTACAGGCTGCGCCGCCTGGAAGTGAGCCACTCGAAGCCCGGTCCCACCTAGTCCCACCTATCGAAGTTTTACACACGCGCCAAATTACAGCCGCCATTGCTGACCTTCTCTTGTCTTACCGAGATGCCGAGCAACTGAAACGGTAGTTGACGATCCTTTAGAAAGGCCGATGCTTTAGAAAAGGACACACTTAAATCTGATATGGCAATAACCTGGCCTGCTATGGTAATGATGAAGTGTAATAAACGAAATAAGAGGAAACAAAAACTGAAGGTCAGTTATGGCGGCGTCCATGCACAGTTGCTGCAAAGCGTCTATACCCGTTTTCACCTCAAGAAAACAGTAAGTTTTGCGCATTGTTCATACGCCGCGCCAAATAGTTCTCGCCAGATTTGGTTGTCAGAGGCACAGGCGATGCTTTTGGCGTTTGAAACGTGCACTCCTTGATAAGATAACGTGTATCCACTCTAAAATGCTAATAAATACATCTTAAATCTCCACCTAAAGGTGAAAATTAGTAATCATCCGCGAGAAGCCGGACTTTTTTTCCTATGGTTCTTGAGGTGAAAACAGGTATAGTAAGAGGGACATTTCGATTTTTTCCCGCTTATTTTTAAGGGGGACGACAGACCTCTTAATATTACATGGGGATGCTCCTTCTCAAATAAGTGAGACGCCACCCCTCTTAAAGTAAGCAATACGGCGTCTCCCTTAAGTTCGAGGTCAGTCTCCCTTAGTAAGAGGGACATTTTTGAGATATTTTCCCCCTTAAATTTGGAGAGATGGTGGCTCGCTTAAAATGCAGGGGTATAGTCCCCCTTAAGTCGGGGTCACACTGCTTGTACATCATAAAAAATACATTCTGCACACATGTTCTAAAACGAGACACCCGTGCCTTGTACGCCACGAGGCAACCAATTCAAAAAGTAGCTTTGTCACGTGGCATACAAAACACGGATATTGCGGTGACTCATTTTGGAAAATATCTGATTTTGTATGATGTATAAGCAGTGTGACCCAGGTTTTAGGTTATCTCTCTTATTGTGTCGTAGAATTTCTGCTCCTTCGTGTCTTGACTGTGAGCTGACATGCTGCACTGCAGTAATGCAGTTCTTGCAGTTTCGCTGATATTGTTTAACCAAAGGCATTGTCTGCTGCGTAACGGAATTTAAAATTGATCTGTATATTATGTTTGATAAACAGAATCAATATGTCAAATAAAACAGTCACAATCTTTAAAAGACGTGTTTTCTTTGCCATGACACAAGAAAATATATTGAAATGTCTGGATCGAAATAGAAATTTTATAACGATGTTCTGATAGCTTATACGGATAAAAAGACGTTAAAACGACGCCAGAAATCGGCGTTTCTTGGAAACTATCACAAAAGAAATTTAGTGCTGCAAAGTGACTCCTTTTGCCTATCATAAGCAATAACAATACAACCGTGCTGATTTTTTTCTTTTTCAGCGGATAACACAAAAAATAAGAATACATTTTAAGAAAAGCCGTGCGCCTACTTTCCCGCAGAACACGTAGAAAGTCAATCACCAAAACTCATGGAGGTTGCTCAGGGAATCTGGATGTCGAAAAATATGATTACACCAAAAAGTGCAGTCTGAGTTATGACACTAAGCGATACAAGCGTGGCATTTTGCTTCGATTAATGTCACAACTCAGACTGAGTTTTTTGGTCTAATCTTATGTTTCGGCATCGTGATTCGCTGAGCTGCCTCCTTGAGTTACGGTGATTGGCTATCCAAGTGCTCTTCGGGAAAGTAGATTCCTGTGCTTTTTTTTAGAGTGTAGGTTCCTGCTTCATAGGATTAAAAACAAATTACTCGGCGTTTCTTGCCATCAGCTCAGAATCTTTGTCGTTTTTGAATGGCCATAGGCAATTTTCTGAGTTTCTCCGATATGAACTGAATCGAGACTCGTCGTTTTCAACGACCAGACACTGGAGGAGTCCAAGGGTTTGTCCATATGCGGCAGGGTAGGAGAGTCCCGTTATGTAATACACCCATAAGCACATGACTAGTGCCTCCTCTAGAGTCGTGCCAGCGGAGAGTTTCAATGACCGGTTCCCAGAAACGATCTGTTTCCCCGAACCGAAGAAAGTCTTGAGTCCTGGAACTCTTTTCGTCAGGGGTACGGTCGTTCTGCAAGCCGCAATTGTTCAAAAATTGCGTCAGCGTCAAAATTATATTCCTCTTTTTTCATCCGCTTTTTCACGTACCATTGGTGATGAGAGAACTTCTGGCCAATTGAGACCTGACGATGGTCTTCAATGTTCAAGAACGTTGTTGTCTCCACAGAATGCCCCTTTTACCTCCTCCAGTTTTCCCAGCATGGTGACCATTGTGTTTTGGAACCGAAGCTGTGCATCCACTTTTAGCTGAATGAGGGACCATATTGTTTTCTTTTAGGTACAAAGGGTGGGAATTAGAATGAAGGTAATGGAGCGTTTTCACCTGTTTTCAAGCAGGCGTTAGGAAACAAATGCAAAACAAAAAATGCAAACAGGTGAAAGATTCGAAACCCAACCAGTATATGAGCTTATGACGTAACTTCTGCGACTGTTAATATTTGACACGAGAATTGACTGCTGTTTTAAGTAATTTACGAGAATCGTTTTTGTATAACCAAGACAAAACGAGAACGCACTTAGTAGTAGCGGAACATGAGAAGCCCTAAGTGCTTTGGAAAACACGGATTTCATTTGCGGCTTGAAGCTGCAGACGAGATCTTATGCATGTTTTAGAGAGCAACATAATCAACTAAACAATATATTTCTGTTAACCTTTCGGCGCAAGCCAGTCATTTTTTTTTCAGAAGCAACGCATATGCCAACAGATCGTAAATAGAGCACATACCAGAATACAAAAAGTTCATAATTACCGTGTTCGTTGTGGGCGGTGTGCGGGTGGCCGCAGTAAGCACACCACTCCGGGTGGTGCGTTCCACCGTGCAGAGTGTCCCGGTAGAGATTTTTACACAAGCAATCAGTGCAGCAACCCCGTCTGATTCCCTTCATGTCAACGTTCGTGGCCATTGCCTCACTCTCAAAACAAGATTTTTACAGCGGAGCTGTTAAGGACTAGGTTCCCCAGGATCGTGTCCGGTACCGAAACCTTGTCGACACAAACCTCCCCAAATCTCTGTACAGCTACCGCCATCTATAAGCGACGGCGACAAGCACACAACCAGTCTGGTTGCCGCCGTCGCTCGTAGATGGCGGCAACCTTTCCAGCTATCGTAAAAGAATGGATAGTTGGCGCGTTGGTGGGAATTCATCGTAGGAAATAATGGGAAAAACAGACGAAGACGAAGAAGAAACATACGTGACGAGCGCAGCGCTCTTCACGTGTGTTCCCTAGAGTGCCTTCAAACACACGCGCGCTTTTGCTTGAGTGGTGACATCTCAGCCATTTTTCCGCCCAGTCGTTTTTTTAGAGCGCAGCTCTTAGGGGCCCGTTCCCGGCTTGAGCGGCGTCGCCGTCGGCGTAACCAAGGTCATCCCAAGGTCACGTGACCCCCAAGGTCACGTGACCCCTCCCAAGGTCATCTCAAGGTCACGTGACCCCCTGAAGGTCACGTGACCCCTCGAGGTCACGTGACCCCTTCCAAGGTCATCTCAAGGTCACGTGACCCCAAGATGACCCCACGTGACCCTTTGAAGGTCACGTGACCCCCAAGTCACGTGACCCCTCTGAGGTCACGTGGTCGCCTCCCCAAGGTCACGTGACCCCCAAGGTCACGTGACCCCTTCCAAGGTCATCTCAAGGTCACGTGACCCCACGTGACCCCCAGGTCACGTGACCCCTCTGAGGTCACGTGACCCCCCGAGGTCACGTGACCCCTCCAGGTCACGTGACCCCAAGGTCACGTGGGGGTCACCTTTGGGGTCACGTGGCCTTGAGGTCACCCCCAGGTCACGCCTCCCCGAGGTCACGTGACCTCCTCCCCGAAGTCACGTGACACCCCCCCCGGAGCATATTAAAGAATGAGGGGAGGAGGAGGAGAAGGGGGAGGGGTCTACCCTCCCCTCAGTACCCTTCACTCCTCCTCCTCAAGAGCTGCGCTCCAATTCGGCGTTACAGGGATTTGTAAACGGCTTTCACTTTTTTTTATGCGTCTTGAAGTGCGCGCAATCCGGTGTCACTCCGCTCGAGCGCGTAGCTTTGGCTAATGCATAGACGCCATTTTACCGCCCAAATCACGCACCGAGTGCGCGAGAGCGTCACGCGCTGGCACATTCAGGGCAACAATGGATGTCTTCACCCTGAGACAGACAGACATGTAGGCACCCTAGTGTTCCCTCGCCCTCGTCTCTCTTGCGCGCTGTATCCTACGCTCTTATCAGTTTCGGTTCAGACTCATGTTGGGCCGTGCGCGTGCCCTTTCGGGAAAAGAAGACTGGGTGCGGAAAGAGCGGCGACGTACGCAGCAGCGCGAATGGGTCCGCAGCCGACGTGAAGCCGCTGTCGCCTCGACTTCCACTGCGTCCATCGCTTAGACTCCTTCGCGAAAGACGAGCACATCGCTCGCCTGGAAAGCCGCCGCCGAGAACAGAACCAGCGATGTAAACGGCGCCGGCGGGCTACGGAGGCCAAGCGCAAGCGCGAGGCCCGGCGATGACAGCACTTCACGCCGGCTGAACCCCCAGGTGCGACGGCGAGGTTCCGGAGGGAGTTTATGGAGAACCCGTTTGGGGTCACGTGCGCCGTGTGCGACCGACTCTGGTTCGCCGGAGACTTATCCACGATCGGCGGCGTGTCGGACGAGAAGAATCAAGAAACGGGCGCGTGAGCGTTGCGGCAGTGTATCGAGTCGGCGGACGTCTACAAAGGACCGGCGTGCAGAACGTGCCGAGATTCCCTCCTCAAAGGCGCGGTGCCCCGGTTCACGGCCGTGAACGGCTACAAGTACCCACCCGTACCGGATTACCTACCGAGGTTGAACGTGGTAGAGGAGCGACTAGAGGCGCCTCGACTCCCGTTCACGAGCCTTCGGCGGTTGACGTGGTATAACAAAGACAAGCGGGGTCAATACGGTTCTCACATAACCAATTACCCTATACACATTAATCCTTACATTTATAAATACTTAATTTCCACCATAGTACAGCTTTGCTGGTTTTCCTTCTTCGCGAGAAAGGAAAGTCTGAAAGTTTTTTTTTTTTGCTTTACACAGGTGAGCCAATCTTTCCACGATTTGAGCGAAAGCTTCCACCAACGTCAGGCGCATCTGTAGCAAATCCTGGCGCGATACGTTAAAGACCCGATTTTGCCGTCCCTTCAAACGGCCATCGATTCCTTTGACCCACGCGGTATATTGGGTAGAAATGTTTCTCGCTTTAACAAGCATCTGACATTAGTGGTACCCAAGTATTGTTGGCGTTGTCAACATTGCAATCCCCAGGATTTCGTCATCGAGCTTCGCAACCACCGCGGTGACGATTTCGAAATGCGACTCATACAAAACACGCCCACTGCAGCATGTTATCGTTCATTTGCCTACTTTATTCGTTTCAGATGATATTCTTTACAGGATTCGAGACAGCAATGCCGCCCACATCCTCACCTCAGCCAGTGAAGCTAAACGATTCGCCAACTTGAGTGACAAGGTGGACGTAAAGGTAGCCACACACTAGCCACTCCAGCAGCTTAAAAGGGCCTCACCGTTTGGCAAACGGTGAAGGCTATGGTTCCAGTGAGCCAATCAGCGGACCAGAGAGGCACACGTGACTACTGTATCTCACTAGTTGCTACCGAAGCTACGGACAGAGGAAAACCTCTTTGTACGAATTTTGAGCGGCAGGTAATCTCTGAGGAGTACGCAAGTGACGTGACTCTCGCCCCTGCTTACCTCAGTCTCTTAGTAGGGGCTGTCACGTGCTTCGCCTTCGTCTCTCTGATTGGCTCGAGGGGGCCGCAGCGTTTGCTCTTTGCCAGGTTAAGCCGGGGTCACACTGCTTATACCGTGTAAAGACGATTGTCTGCAAATAGATTCGAACGCGAGTAACCGCGAGATTCGTGTTTCGTACGCCACATGTCAGACTTCAAGTGAAAAACATGGTACGCGACAGTCGAACCACGGATATTGCGGTTACTCAAGTTTGCAGACTGTCTTTTGATATCTGTGTGAGCACTGTGATCCCGGCTTTATGGTGAAACCGCTGATCTTTATGACAATTGCTGGATCGTGCTTCCCCGCTCCGCGAATGCGGCAACCGTCGGACATCTTAGAACATTTGCTCTAGCGCAGTCAATCCTAGACACTCGCAATGGTTACCATCTCTAGGTCACGTGACAACAAATGCAAAAGTCACGGGACAACCGCCTTGACAACGCTTCAGCGGATGTCGTAAGATGGCCGACCAGTGACCGCAATCGTGCAGTGGGCTCGAAGCGGGGAAGCGCGATCCTGCAAGTGTCATAGATATCAGTGAGTGACACGAAGGATTAGCGCCAAGATGTCTTGGTGGGACCCTCTTATGGCTTACATCCGTGACGTCATGACCGTGAATTTGCCTCGCCGTGACGCCCCGAGAAATGACCTTGATTATTTATCATCAGTTGCGACGACACTTTCGAGGATGCGGAAGTACAGTAGAAGTTAGGAGCCGTCGCGTTCTTAAACCGACACTGCGGGTGCCGAGTGCTAACATGCTTGTTTTACCGCTGGTTTGGCGTGGGAAGCTTACCACAGCGCGCTTTTGGTCGCGCGCATCGCTAACAATACTTGGTGATGAAATTTCGCGTCACTTGAAGAAATTCGGACAGAGACACGTACACTGCATCAGCGATCGGCTCGTGCTGACCACGAGTTCCAGCGTTCCGCAGATGAGCCCAGTGGACTGCACCAGTGGTCTACACGTGACTCCAAAGAGTTTAAAAACAAACAACTATTTAAAAACAACTGGTCCGCTTGACATATTGTGGCGATTAATCGCGCGTGTTCAACGCTTTCAGGGTTACTTCTGCGTAGGAACCGCCCCTGGTTTTGTTTCGGTGCTCGACTTCAAGGAAATAAACGAAGACACCTTCCAGGAATTTCCCGTGGCCGACGTCAAGAATGAAGTCATCGTACTGTTGTACACATCGGGAACAACGGGTAGCCCGAAGGCCGTTGAACACACGCACTACAGCATCGTGGCCCATTTACATCGGCCCGGGTGAGTTCTTGAACTTAGGTTTACGCGCGGCGGAGGCGTACTATAATCGACAGACAATTTTTTTTTAAAGGGCCACTGAAACTCCAGAGCTCGTAAAACTCCAGAGCTCGTCTAAAACGATGCAAGTTCTAATCAAATATACGGAAAAAACAAAAAACCGCAACGCAAAAAAAAAAAAAAAAAAAAATTCTTTACGCGCGCGCGTGCATTTTTATTTTTGGCGTTATTCTATCCCGCTCCTCACCTCCTCGCTTCTTTTGATTTGTGATGTCAAATATAATGAAATTCGGAAGCTTTGTAGGCGACATTTTTGTAACATTTAATAACGCATTAGTAGAGCATGTTTTTAACGCAATTGCGAACGCACTACAGCCCTCATTTTTGAAATACCTGAAATCGGAAACCGGTATGATGTTGCCACGTCGATCTTTATCTTCCCTCCGAAAACATGGCAGCGCTCGTCGCATGTAGCAGATAGAGTGCCTTCATACACACGCGCGCCTTTGCTTGAGCGGTGACATCTCAGCCATTTTTCCGCTCAATAGTTTTTCATGCTTTTTGAAGTGCGCGCAATCCGGTGTCACTCAGCTCGAGCGCGTAGCTTTGGCTAATGCATAGACGCCATTTTACCGCCCAAGTCATGCAGCGAGTGCGCGAGAGCGTCACGCGCTGGCACATTCAGTGCAACAATGGATGTCTTCACCCTGAGACAGACAGACATGCAGGCACCCTAGTAGCAGAGGATGACCGGTGAGTCGGGGAATCGGACGAAGTAGTCTTTTTTAGGTGTCCGGCGACCTCTCAGACTTCGAAAAGGAAATCGTCAAACGGTCAAAACAACTGGGTTTGGTGTTTATGTATCTTAGTTTCGATTGTGACTCTGCCGGGGCAGCCTTTAGCGCAGGACCGGCGAGGCGTGGCCTCTCACGTCGCTCACAAAAGTTCACTGCGCGGTCTCTTGACCTCACGCCGTTTTAAAGAATTTGAGATGGCTCAAAGGGCCCTAAACGAACTTCCAAATCGGAAGTCAAGCGTCGTCTGCTCGCAGCGATAGGCGATGTGCGACACGACACTTCGGGTCGCGGCGGCGACGTCGGTTCGGAGGGGAGGCGTGAAAGAAACTCGACTCGCAGGATGGCTCAAAATTTGACGTCACTGCACTGGTGTGGATTGCCGGGGAACTTCAAATTCGGCCATTTGGATTTTTTCTTTTTTACTTCACAAATATGGATTTCTTAGGTTTCGAATTTTGGGGGTAATGTCCAGGCATCGTTGTCCATCGTTTAGGATAATAAAAATCAGAACAAAATGTTCAGCCTTGCTACTCTGGTGAAGAAGGAAGACCAGCGAAGCTGTACTATGGTGGGACGACCTCAAGGACGACTTCCTTGTGAGACCTAAAGGACGACTTCTTTTACGACTTTAAGGACGACTTCTTTTTCGACCTCAAGGACGACGCCTAGAGGACGACGTCTAGGACGACCTCAAGGTTAACTTCTAGGACGACCTCAGGGACGACATTTAGGACAACCTCAAGGACGACGCCTAAAGCAACCTCAGGGACGACGTCTGGGACGATGTCTAGGACGACCTAAGGACGACGGTTAGGACGACCTCAAGGACGACTTCAGGATGACCTCTAGGACAACCTCAAGGATGACTCCTAGGACGTCCTCGAGGACAACCTCTCTGACAACATCAAGGACAACCTCGCGGATGACGTCTAGGACGACCCCAAGGACGACGTCTAGGACGACCTCGAGGTCGACACCTGGGACGTTTCCTAGAGAAATTTAGCCTGAAGGAAATGCTCGAAAGGTAGCCGCCATCTATGAGTGAGGCCAGCAAACCGGTTGTCTGGTTGGCGCCGTCGCTCATAGATGGCGGTAGCTGTCCAGAGTTTTGTGTCGGCATTTGTTTGGTACCGGGCACGATCCTGGGAAACCTAGCCCTTAAGAGCTGCGCTCTAAAACAATTATTTGGACGTGTCAGTTCCACCTCTAAATTATTTTGCGAATACTTCGAAGAGATTATGCTAGGCTGGTTGAGGAAATAACAAAGTATTTTCTGGAACAAACTGCCAACCATTACGGACGTCGAAAATTAAAGAAAAAACTAATTAGTAATTTTTACTCCCTAATATAAGCTAATTAATATTTTAATAAGTGAAGATAAACGTTTTTTTCTTGTTAGGAACGTTCTGAGCGTCGTCAAGATCCTCTAAATCTGTCAACTTCCGAACGACTTCGTAGAGGCGCGGGGCTGCTCTAAAACCGCTCTTGAAGCGGGCGCAAGGCCGGTGATGCGAAAACGTTGATGATATTCTTATCGTTCGTGTTTTCACTTCCCCGGCCTTGTACGTCCTGCACAAGTAGTAACTTTAGCGCACACCCTGGATTCCCATGTGCTTCGAGTCGTCCTAAAATTAACTTATTTAGGAGTTTTCGCTGACGCTCAGCAAGTCTCTAATTGGAACCATATGTTTATTTTCGTTACTTCAAAAGTCAATTAATTGGTAAGGTTTAGGTAACTATAGTTCGCTAATCAGTATGTTTTGCTATTCCTGACGTCCACCGTGGGTTGTTTCTCAATATAGTTTATTTTTCTCACCCATACTGCCAGAAATTTTCGAAAGTAGGCGCAGAAACGGGCCAGTATGCGAAAATAGGATAATACATTTTACTCCGCTCATTCGCCCTAGGCAGCGCTGCTACAGCACCAAATGCTCCCCTAGCGGAGAGAACAGCTCGTTTCCGAGAGAACGCACGCGCGAGTCGCGCTGCTTTCGAGGGAGAGGGCCACCGCCGACCTACCGAGACACCGGATTTGCCAAGACAGCAGAGACGGCTGCCCCGCCGTTTTGAAGGTTGTCCACACGACGATAGATGGCGGCAGCCATCCCTCTCAGTTCAGGGGAAATCGCCGAGGTTGCTTACTTTCAGCTTTTCCTACTACGTAAAGGTTGTCGCCGCCAAGGCCACTGAAATTTCGCAGGGTGTGACGTACTCCTTATAACTCCGTTTCGCGTTAAATCCTACGGCAGTCGATGCCGCGATCGGAAACACCAAGTCAAGCAGAGCACCAAAAGTACATCGTCACGGCGCTCATCATCTTTGTGCGCTTACTGTAACCGACTAAACCAATACCGCACAGGCAATGCGTCGCGTTCCTGCAGTGCTTTCTTTTGTGCTTGCGCGTTTTGCTGACTCACGATATCGTCCCGCTCTACCAGCAGCGAACTTCGCTTCTTTCGCTCGCTCTTGGAGCCGACGTCGCACAGCCGTCGCTTTAGGTCGCGGACCAGACTACGCACTATTTGCTCGAAACTGGAGGAACTGGACACGAGCACTCTATGCGAACAGCAAGTCGTCTGCTTTTTGCGCAGGAGTTGCTGTGACGTCAGAACGACGCCGAGCTCTGATCGGCTTTGATTGAAAGGATAGAGGGTAGAGCTCGATGCTAGATGCTTTGAGGTCTATACCACTTCTCTTTTTACAATCAGCCAATAAGGGCCTGGCGTTGTGACACCGTCGCAACCACTATTAGCCCCGAGAGCGAACACAAGCGTCGCTGCGGTCGCCGCGCCCTGATTGGGTGAGGTGTACCGTGACGTCAGAGGGAGGACTCCGCTCCGCGATCTCGCATCGGCTCGCTTCCCAGCACCGTTTTCCTGGTTTGGCGTTGTGTGCCGCAAGCTCTTCGAGGAGCTGGACTTCGTTCACCCGGTGTACAAGACGTTGGGTTAGGCCGATAAATTGATGTGCTTCCGTACATTTTATAAGCCTGCTTGTCTCTTTTACCTTTAAAATTGGGTTACAAATCCCGAAAGCAATCGGCGGAGGCAATTCCGCCGATGAACCTTCCCGTTCGTCCACACGACACAAGGCAATCTTGCGAGGGGTCGGTGAAGTGGTGGCGCAAGTGTTCCAGACGCTGGAATTCTGTTCCTTGCATGTTCATGATTTAGGACGATATTACATCCCGCTTTCAAGGCATTTGAAGTGGCATTCATATCATCGGCCTTTGGGTGGTCGGCAATTTAGCTCGCGACCCCGACTCTGCGCTGCCACTCTGCATGCACTGGTTCGCAGATATTTTAAAGGCCCTGTTTCTGATTATCTTTGAAGTGCTCGTGGAACAGGGTTGTTTTACATAAATGTAGTTTCTTCATGAATTAATTATATAGTTTATACACGTATGCAGGCATATTTCTTGGAAGATGCACAATTACTGGAAATTAGTTTGTATGGTAGCAGCAAAAACGGCCGGACTGCCCCCAGTTGCCTGTATGATATGTATGGAACTGCCCAAAATATGCACAGAAATAGTGCCGTAATTCGGAATGTTTATACTTTTTTCTTGACATTCTTTATTCCAGTCTTGGGTATTCGGAAAATGCATCGTTTAGTCTGAATTGTTATTTCTAATTAAAAGAGACACTGCTGCAGGTCCTCCAAAAGCTTTTTCAGTCTGACAGTCTCCAAACTCCCTACAGCTGGACTCTCTGACAACAGAGGAAAACAGGAGTGAAAGCAAGCATTGGATTGTCTGTCCAGTGGTAGATGCAGCACTAGTAGCAGAAAATGTGGAACCTGTGAAGGGCGACAGTCTGCGTGAAGAAGCTTCTGGTATTTTAGCTTCAGGACAATTCGATTTAATTAAAATATCAATTTTACCTTCGCTTACGGTTGTTATACATTAGTTGAGGGTTGATATAAACAAGCCCACACATACCACCCGTGTAGTCCGTTGAAATACTATCCGAATCCAGCAAAGGTCAAATGCGAGCAATGCATATAATAAATGTTCCTTGTTTATTTACTTTGCCCCTGCACTTGGGCTGTCTTACTTGTGATTCTCTCCCCATGATCCAGACTGTATTTAGCATGTTGCTCGAGCAGCATGCAGATTTTCTGCTTCGGCGATCGTGTAAAAAAGCAGAGATACAAAAAAAAAAAGAAAATAGTACACATAACCTGCCAATTCATTCAGACCATCAG